CTCAAACACTAACAAACTGACAAAATCTGTTGCTGTCTATAGTTGGGTACCCATTCACACCCAGTGAAGTCTGGAAAATTCGTTTAAAGTACATTTTCCCAAGGACAGACCGTCGGGTCCCTGACGGGATTCGAACCCAATAACTAACGGTTGCTAGTCCGAGAGCATAAAGCCTTCTGACGCCCTTAGCAAAAGAATTGTGTTTGATTCCCGTATTGCGAGAACTGTTACCAAGTATCTCGGCCTTTTTTCTGGGACGTTGTATTCCTTTCACTTCTTATTCGTGCTCAAGGCTTGCCTCCTAAAAGGTCTAAATTGTATGGAGCCATATAACGCCTAAACAAGAATTTAAAAAAAAACCCACAAAAACCAACCAACCAAACAAACGTGGGGCTCTCGTGGTCCAGAGGTTAAGGTGTTCGCCTCTTATTCAATAGTTCCCGTGTTCGAATCCGGATAGTGACGGAAAATTTTCTTCTCTAAAATTTCTACTTTCACATCCTTTAATGTAGTCTAGCAATGTTCTGTTGTCTGCTTTCGTTTTCTCTTACCTACCCCACCCCTTCACCTTCTTTGGACCCTCCATTGTGCTCCTAACTTTTTCTGCAGCCTTTCTACTGCAGTTTTTCCGCCACACCACTGATCTTATGATTATAGTAGGAAAGATCTACACCGAGCCTTCTCAGACAAGGGCGAAAAATCTCGGAGGTCCCGAGTACAAGATGCGAACGTTAAGATCCTTTTGTGGTCCACGGAGAGATAAGGGCGAATTAGTTGCTTAAAAAAACCCATTGAAATGAAAGAGTAAACCACACCAGAGCACCGGCCAACCGTAGTTTGTGACTACAGTAAAACTCAGCAATTATCGCGAAGAACAGGAATGCGTTGAACTGGAGTTCATTTTTTAATGGGGGGGATTTTTAAACTTGTGCATTACGTTGACCAGACTTGTGTATTTCTCTTCAATCGATCAGGTTAAAATGGAAATTCACAAAAGTGGTGTCTTTAACAACAAGCAGCCTGATAGCATAGAACGATCCTTCAGACAGCGGAATACACCGCTGTACTGGCTATATGTCTGTCAGAATAGCCAAGTCCGACATGTCCACAAACAACAACACCAGCAGCAGCGTCAATGAACGCATTCATGGTGCCAGTTCTATTTATTCGACAACGCTTGAAGACGTCCTGTTTTGGGATACCTAAAGAAAGAAGACTAACTTCGATATCAATACACATGTTTCAATTCTACTCACTAGGCTTTTTTTTGGGGGGGGGGGTATAAACTTGGCAACAATAATAATATAGAATACAAAGAATGCAAATTTGTTCTGTGATTAGTAATATGATGGTTCTAAATGTCCTGCATTTTTGCCTTTATTCGGTTAGTGTTCAGGCATATTATGTGTCCTCCTAGTCTTTTAAATTATAGTTAAACAAAACACTGACTTAGGAAAAAGAAGAAAAACGCGAGCAAAACAAACAACACAGGTGGGGCAACAGGAATAAACACAAAAACAACAGAAGGAAAACGAACAATAAGCTAGGAGTAAAAGAAAAGTTAACATTTTTTTTTTAATTGAAAGTGTTGCATATTTATTCCGTCATGCCAAAGCCAACTTATGCTGGGAGGAGTATATAACGTCCCAATGAAAGGGCTGAAATACATGAACTTGTTAAAAAATTCTCAGCATAAAGGAATTGGACCCACGTCTTCTGCGTGTGCCGTCCGGGTGCCTAAGCTCCACTTCGCACCTGAAGGTCTTTCATATAACCATTACCGTTTTTTTAAAAAGTGACATACAGTCGAACCTGCTCTTATGGC